CTCTCTCTCTCTCTCTCTCTCTCTCTCTCTCTCTCTCTCTCTCTCTCTCGTAGGTTTTAGGGCTGCTGGCGTGTAGTAAAGGTGGCTTGAGGGAAACTGAGCTCCAATATCTCCTCAGTGATGATTTCACTGAGTCTGTCCCGATGATGATGTGGGCTGAAGTAAGACGTACATTAAAACCATTTCTTAGAAACATTGGAGGGAGAAGAGAACAGGAAAGACTCGATTTTTTCCACGCATCAATACAAGAGGTTACGTAACCAGACTGTTTAATCTGTATTTTCTTAACTGACTGTTCATAGCAGACTTTCATGATTGGGAACAAACGGAAAACGTACATCATTTTTTAATTAAACGATTGTCTGTTTTCATTGAGTTGTGCTACAAAGGTTTTAACCAATCGCAGTGCACAAAGTATCTTTTTTGTGTTATATAAAGATGTTTATTACTTTGTTACATGAAAATGTTATAAACTTCTTCTTTATATATCCTTGAAAAAGTCAATGCTCTTCGCTCTTTGACCAATGTACATTACAGATCCCTTCCAGATCATGAACGCCTCTTCTTTTTTCTCGCAGGTTGTATTGGAAACCATTCTCGTAGATTTTGAGGAAAAGAAAAAGTTTCATTTAAAACTGGCAGATTTCTTTGCAGATCACTGCAAAGATGAAGAGCGAGTGATTTACATGGTGCCAGAACAACTCAAATTAGCTGGAGAAAAGAAAAGACTGTTGGAATTCCTGAGAAAGGATCAGCGCTCCATAAACAAACCTGGCTTTTGGAAAATCAGCTACTACAAGGTAGTTTGAACATAAAACACTGGAGATATGATTGTCTTATTACTTTTAAGATATTTTTCCGCTTTTTGCCTTTTTCGTCATGAGGTGTTTTTACAGCCTTAAAAACTAGGATATTTTAGCCTTCTTCATAGTTAATTTGATTAATTGTACTGTGACAGGCGCGATGGCTTTATGGTTAGGACGCAGGACTCCTATTCGAGAGGTCTGGGTTCAAACCCTGACAAAATGCTCGGGAACCTACCTGTGGCACTGGGTACCAGTAACTTCATCACGGTTATTGAAACTGGATTCGAACACCAGCTTGACAACTGAAGTCACTTGCCTTGGAAAGGTCTGGATATAAAGTCTTTACGTTTACCAATACCAAACTGCCACTTTTTCTTTTCAGGATCTGCGTTGTAACAAATTACTTCATCAGGGAACAGCATTTGCCCACGACGTTCACATTTGCCAGTTCTGCAGTACAAGGCGGGGGGCTTTTGGAGACGTGTTTCAATTGAACAAAGATTCATGTTTCATTTGTGGACGCTTTACGACATGGAAAGACGATCAACGGTCCGCTATGGTGTGCCATTTTCATAAGCCGCCTGGACCGCCAAACGTGAAGATGTGCATTTTATGCAGAAAGCCTGCCTTTCAGAATGCTGTTAAGTGTTACTTGTGTCCTATGTGTGGGACTGTGGGGATTAAAAAATGTGTCATGCTTGTCGGGGACTGGTTGCATTCCAGGTGATGAACTTTAGCAGGAGTAAAAAGAAAATGAACATATCTACAAAGATTCGGAAAGACTTTGTCTACACTGTTGTATCGGCGGGGGTATTTTGCAGAACGCAAAAAGCCAAATGCACCGTTTTCTTACGTTTAGTTTCACTAGTGTTTGGTTGCGGTTATTTGTTGGACAGAATACCACAATAGAGATCATGTAGCATTTGGCCCGCAAACGCAAGCAAACATGAGTGAAACTAACTGTAAGTAGACAGTGCCTTCTGCGTTCTGTAAAATTTCCCGCCGCTATCGTATGGGATTGAAACAGAGTGAAGATGTTGCTTCATGAAACATGGGCTGTGATGCGACACTTTCGTTCTCAGTCAATCAGATTGGTGCGTCAGAGATTTAAATGAGCAAACTCTACACACAACAGTCAAGAGCTTACTTTATCTTGAATTTTTTGCTCCGTCAATCGCCCAAGGTTTTGAAGCATTACCGTACGTATAGACTATACCGGTATTTAATTTTTAACAACTTCATCGTTGTTGCCAGTTCAAGTAATGCACTCACGGTTTAACTCCAAGATTTTCAGTTCGATGTTTCTTCGGCGTCAAATAGATTCCATACTGGCGTGCTTCTGTTCAGTAATTGATCACAGATGACGTCAAAATGTGGTAAGAACAGAAAAGTGGCACACGAGGCGATAGCCGAGTGTTTTATGCTTTCGCCACATTTCACTGCATTTTGATAAGTAAGAACCAATCAAATTGCAAGGATTTATTATATAATCAGCCATTTTAAATACTTTAAATGTAGTTGTTTTTATCCGTATGAAGGTGTGAAGTCTTGTTTTCTTCAATTCTTATTTTTTCATACTTATTTTTACACGACCCCACAAGCCAGAGGTTTTAAAATTTATCGTGTATAAAAGGTCATCATCATCATCATCAATGCGATGTAAGTTAAGTTTTGTATGTGATGTAATGGTCTAGTATTGTAATGTAGTGAATGTAAATAATATCACGTCACCCTGTTGTAAATATCGTTTTCAAAAGTAGAAATGAAACCCCGCGAAAGGAATCTTGAATAAACTCGGATTAGAATTTGACAGTACAAATTAAATCAACCATTTAGGGTCTTCATTAATTTTACATTTGAATGTTAAAACTCGTAGCCTCTTATCACTTATGAAACGTATTAAACCCAGTTTACTTTAATTGTACAGTTTAATACGTCTTTTAATAACAACAAATTGGCAAAGTTACAATTCACCTTTTCAAGATCCATAAGTATCATTTAGCCAGAACCTTCTATTTCTTTGCACTTCGTATACAAAGGGACCCCTCCATGGGTCATCAATTGTACTAGATTCCTTGTTATAAACTACTCTATCAAAACACAAACTTGGTGGAGGGGTGACTGATC